GCTCTGACCATGCTCGTCATGTGGTATGACGAAAGCTCGGTCCGAAGCGTTGGAGGATGTCTCGTGAATTGCATCAACCTGAACGCCGTAGTAAGGGAAAACGGCTGAAGTACAAAGCAAATTGGCCGGTGTCTACTGATGAGATTGATCTACGAATCTTTTTATTATGTTCTTCCACAATGAAATGAGTCTTCACAACATTTATGAAGTTGTTCGTAGTTTTTGATTATCAAAAACATATCAATCAAAAACGATAAATTTAGCTTAAAACGAAATTATCGGATGGTACTTAAATGGTTTTAGTGACATTCAAAATGTATAATACGAGATAAGCTAGAGCATCTGAAATGGTCAGGGGAAAGATGAATACCGAAACAACCAGATGAAGAAGCGGATAAACAAAAGCTGACTTGTCACTAGGATTGTTGGCTAAGGGACTAACCAAATCTGTGATCGTCTCATAGGAGGACCTAATGGCCTTCCTGTCTTTTACTTTCGCCGTCTGATCTTTCTCCTCCAGTCCGGGATCTTCAGATCCACTGGAAGAGCTGACCGTCCTTCCCGAAGGACTATGCTGCCCGCAAACCGGCGGCTTGCGCAACGTCTGTGAAGCACCTAAAGGCATCATCATCAGCCTCCCCGTCGTTAATCGTCGTGGTTGGCGCAATCTGCTGCTGCTGTCAGTGTCGACGTCAGCACAGGCCGATGTAGGCGCATCCGAGCCAGTCTTCGTTAGAACTGAGTTGGCTGGCATCAGTTCGGCGTCTGCACTAACTTCCTTGCAAGCGTCCACAGCTGCAAGAGTGCTAGCCGCCTCTTGAGCAAGTGGCAGGATTGGGAAGTCAAGGCGAAGAGAGGCGCCGAGAGTCTTGTTTCGAGTAGTGGTGCAAGAGACTGTGGAATCGGCGGATTTTGTTTGCATTGAAGCCAAGGTAAGATGTTGCTCCAGCTCAAAAAGCAGACTGGCGAAAGAGGGCCGGTCCTCCGGATGGAGTGCCCAGGTTCGCCTCATAAGACTGTAAAGACCAGGAGGACAGTCCTCTGGAGCTTCCATTCGATAGCCGAGTTCCAGGTTGCGCAACACCTGACTGGTCATCTGAGGAAAGGAAACAATTAAGAGGCAATTAGGCGTGGACATGGAGCTGAAAAGGATATGGAGGCCAAGGCTATGATTTGCCACAATTGAGCCACGTGCGTAGTGGGAGAAATTGGGGAAATGCAACTGATTCAGTGTGAGTGAATCTAGGATTATGAAGTCCCATAAAAGACAGTTAGCGAAAATATAGAGTAACATTGGTTTAGAAGAGTGTCCTAGTGACTTATTGCGACATGATTTTTCATCACGGAGTAAAAGTTGGTTGAATTCTTCTCACTGGAAACAGAGGGAAGATTGCTGGATTGTGTAATCAGATGCCTGGCTCACGAACCTGCAACCCTGAGGAATGTGTTGTGGGTTTTTTTATACAGTAATGACAGAAATATTGAGTACGAGAAACGATAGCTTACGAAACAAATGC